AGTCTACATTATTGGCCGTCGCAAAGATGTTCTTGAAAAGGCAGCTAAGGAGCAGGCGGTAAGATTGCAGCATGGCTCGTTTCCCTTAATGGACCGCAATACTTCCCTGTGGCAGATGTGCGTGATGACTGCTAAAAAGCTCGCGCTTATCAGACTTATGGAAACATCTTCGCTATACCCGGAGACGTAACGTCGAAGGATGATTTGCAACGTGTCACGGAGCAGATAAGAAGAGAGGTTGGTTTTGTCAACCTCTTCGTCGCCAATGCAGGCGTTGTTGGAGAACTACTCCTTTCGCCCAAGATCTGGGACCAGTCTATCGACGAGATCTACGAACGTCTTTGGAATACCGAACAGACACGATTCAATCAAACCTTATCTACAAATGTCAGCGCTGTATATTACAGCATTGTAGCCTTTTTGCCACTCTTAGCCGCCGGTAATACACAAGGTAATGCCATGCAGAGCAGCCAGGTTATAGTCACAAATTCCATCGCGGCATTCTCACGTATGTCCGACGTTAATCTGGATTACTCGGCCAGCAAAGCCGCTTCGCTACACATGACAAAACAAATGGCAAGCATGTTCTCGACCGGGTTTTCAAAGCACCAAATCAGGTTTAACATCATTGTCCCGGGTAGTAAGTATTGGTCAGCGAGTTAAACAGAGTCTGATGCTTTTTTTTCTCTAATATCCAAGTGCAGTGTTCCCATCTCAACTCACAGACGACTGCAATTTTTTTAAGGAGCTGTCAGATGACGAGAAGGCCGCAAAGGTCCCTTTGGGGCGGGCTGGTACTACTGAGGATATTGCAGGAGTTATCTTGTGGCTAGCGTCAAGGGCTGGTGCGTGGATAACTGGAAACTTGGTGATTTGTGACGGGGGTACATTAAGTATAACGCCATCTTCTTTTTGATTGGCTACTTCTTAATTTAAGCTGTAGCAGGGTTCCAACGTTAGATCATTAGGTATCGGTTAGAGACGACCCGATATAAATGTACTCGCACTTGGAAGGTGCCTGACTGTCGCCTTTATAGCAGACTGGAGGTTGAGTATTAGACTAATAAGCGCACCTGTTGAAATAAAACTCCCACCCTGTTGATCACTTTGCTAAAGGAGAAAGGAATCCGTTATGAGTGATACTTTGATAAACTAAGCTGATGTTTGACTGTGAAGCAAGAAATGGAGAGCTAGCACTTCCGACTTACATACCTATGTAGCTACCTGAGTAGTTAGAGACTCGGCCGAGAGCGTTGAGGCAAACATCTTCTCAAGATTCCCACGTTACTGAGGGGCAGTCATCTGTTTGATCGACTCTCTCATGCGACGTTCAGGAAGTTCAGCCGTAGAGAACTCGCCTGAAACGTACGTTGGTGGGTGCTATGTGAAAACTTGTAAAATATCGATAACCACTACATAGAAAGAGGCCGGAACTTTTGGTAGGTCGCAGGTGCTGTACAAGGGAAATAAGTAACAAAACATGAAGAAACAGACAGTACATTGATCGGTATGAAGAAGAGAAAAAGGAAGCTATCGTGACAGGCCCACTGCTATGGAAGATATTCAGCCAGAGACCCTAACCCTTCTCGTCGGTGGTCGATATTAGTATATCAACAGGAACCAACCGTGCAACACATACACATACGAGTTCGTCAAGCCTGAAACTTATATAAGTGATTCATCTTTTTATAATAAAATTTCACAAAGAAACAGTCACGCCAAAATTATACACTAGTGACTTTATAAAATACCTACATATGCATAGCAGTTTCTATAACCCACTCAGTACTCTGTTAGTAACTTATTACCTTGATATACAGGCGACTAGGGTAGCATTGTTGGGTTCCTCGTGAAAGCTGCAGGGGTCTCGAAGCCGGCATTACTACCTCAATATACCCACTCCGGATCCAGAGCATGCTACTGTGCGGCGCAGTTGCCAGCGTGCCGCATTATTCTCAATCTCTCAAAATGCGATTTCAGTCGAGGAGCTGTTTGCTTCATGCGCATCACTTCACAGCGCTAAGCAGACTCAATCCTCCCATTTCGATCCTGTAGCTTGCTGCTACGATGCCTCCGCCTGTGTTCTTTCTCGTGGCTGCCACTGCGGCTTGCTTGATCTGGGCGCTTTGGTGGCGACAGACGCCACCAACGGCGGCGAAATTGGATCTGCCACTGGTGGATTTCGATGGTGTTAACGGTCTTGATGAAGATGCGTTGAAAGAGCGCTACACAAAGGACACTGGAACCCTCTTAAAGACAGGATACAATAAGGTACATCCACGTCTCCAATGACTGGTGTTCCAAGATACTTGCTAACAGTTTGCACGACAATCAGTTCTCAAAGAACGGTCACGCCTTTGCCATCAGAAACCTAGCCCACAACGAAGGAAGTCGCCCTTTGGTCTTTGTGGCAACGAAACATCTGGAAGAAGTTAGGAACGCACCTCAGAATAGACTGAGTCTCCCTGAATATACTGAGAGAGCGTCGATCCTCAATCACATTGGTGGCCCTCGCATCACCGAAGAAGTTCAAAATGCAGCCCGGCTCAATCTCAACCGTGCTCTGAATAATCTTATTGGTCCTATTCAAACTCAATGCTTCGACGCGGCCAGAGGGATACTACCTTCGTGTCAAGGTATGACCGCTCTCTGATCTAGCTGTACATCACGAGAAGTATCCAGAAGTGGCAAGCTAACTTGTTAGATAGCCTGGACCCCCCTTCACATCTACCCTATCATTTTGCAAATGTTTGCCCATATGTCGGCACGTGTAATGGTAGGCCCTGAATTATGTACCGGATGGCCAGCAATTTCACTAGAATACCTCAATACTGTTCTGAAAGCACCCAGTGCCGTTCGCCAGAAATATCCTCCCTGGTTATACTGGACCGCAAAGTATTTCAGTCCGGAAATCAAAGCTGTCATGGCTGTACGAAAGAAAGCAGCCAACTTCGTGCTGCCAGTCCTCATGGCGCGACAAGCGGAAGTCAAGAAATACGGCGAGGCAGTTGAAAAGCAGGATGATTTCATCCAGTGGCTTATGGATGAATATCGTGCCAAGGGGAAGGAACTTACAGCAGATGACCTTGTGCAGAATATTTTCATTACTATGGTCGCATCGATGCAGTGAGTATTACACCGACTCGTTCGGCTTCCGAGCCTCAAGGGCCAAAATTTCAAGTGTGCACCAAGTGTGGTGACTGTATATGTGTTGGATCTATCAGTATGGGGCCATGTCTAGGTAATTTGCTGACGCATGAACCATCTTTAGCGGCACCTCGACCATCTGCTACTCTGTTCTCTTGAATCTCCTGGCTCACCCCGATACAGCCGCGGAGGTCAAGGACGAGATAGAGAGGGTTAAGAAACACGAGCTTGGGGCTGATGTCTTATGGACTCGACATTCACTAGGAGAGCTGCGCCTTCTGGATAGCTTGATGCGAGAAACACTTCGTCTCAATTCGTTCACAGAAGGTAGGCAGGCCATGCATATACACCTCTCAGTACTGCAGTCACTAACCCAATGGCAATCTACACAGCGACAATGCAAAGAACTGCTATCGTTCCATATACGTTCAAGGATGGCCTCACCGTGCCAGCAGGGTTCTCTGTTAATTTCACCGCTGTTCAACATAGCTTAGACGAAGATATCCATGGTCCCAATGCCGCTGCCTTTGACCCCAAACGCTGGATTAAACGGAGACAGGGCTTCGATACTAGCAAGTTCCAATTTGCTTCCACGTCGGACGACTGGCTGAACTGGGGCGGTGGTCCCCACGCCTGCCCAGGGAGGTTCCTCGCAGATATAGCTATCAAGTTGACCTTGATCTACTTGCTTGGGAACTATGAGATGAAGTACCCCGAGGGAAGGTTAGAGCGCCCAGCTGATGGGAGAAGGAATCTGATGATTACGCCGGATATGACTTTGCCTATCATGTTCAAGGAAGCATCAAAATAGAGGGAGTGGACCGGGTAGATGGACCTCATGTGTCAATCCGCGATCAGTCTGATGTATCTTGATCGAAGTTATAGTAGACAAAATAGAACGACTGCTGCCACCGTGCGTTTCGTCTATGAGGGCAAAGCATTTGGAGATTTGTGCAGAAGTATATACGTATGTAGAGTCTTGTGTACGTAACAAGTTCGCAGAGGAATGTGAATATCATCTAACGTCACCGAGGTTGTCTTACATTAGATAAGGCTATGTTATGAAGACAACGTACGGGCCATTATCATCACTGCCATCGACTCATGAAGGTGTCGCAGGAAAAAGGTACAACCAGCACCGGGATGACGCTAGGCGAGGCCATTTTGCTGAGCTTCAGTAAGCTCTGGAAACGGGATGTTATCCTGCCATTTGTCTTCGGTATCGTTATATTTCCTGACATTCTTCCATCTCACCCCCCTGGAAGGCTCAAACCACTCTGGAAGATCTAGGCCCAATTTCATCACTGCGACTACCTTAGCTTGATTCGGTCAGAAGGCTTTGCTTAGATGTCATTAAAGCAAGGCTTCACAAAGAGGTAATATAGAAGTAAAAACTTGAACTTTGGTATTAAAAACATACCTGTGCCATGTTTGTTACTTTTACCAACTTGAGCTGGGGCATCAAAGCTTTATCTTTGACACTAACCTTGCCCTTGTATTGACTCACCCTACGTAGTCTTACCATTTTACATCATTCAAATCCATACCTGAGCTGAGTGGAAGGCTCCGGGGACGAGATTGTCATTGTTAGCTTTGGAACAATATTGGAGCAAAAAGACGAAGAATAGAGTCGGGCCGACCGGTGAGTCCAACTGTGAAGAGATCTGGGCACTGATGCATATGTGGATTCTCTAAGGCCAATGTTACGATGGCTCAAGATATGCACAGGTTATACAACGTGCTCGGCCAAAAACGAGAAGAAAAACAGAGAGAAAGGAAACAAATAAAGCACTAATCCTCAGCAAGGCAGAATTGAAGCCGCCGAAAAAAAAGTAATCCAATGACGGGAATTGAGCCCGACGTGGGGGTCGAACTGGAAGGACGGTTAGTAAGACACTCAAATGTTCAGCAACAACAGACTTGAACATACCCCACAACCTTGAGATTTAGGAATCGTGAGATCCATAAGAGTCTCACGCTCTACCGATTGAGCTAGCCGGGCGTCCATAGGACGCTGGTGTTGAAATTTCGGCTGGAAAACTTTGTATATAATGTGGATCCATTCTGACTCACGAGCCCACAATGCACTTCCTGACTTGGCGCCATTCACTTTTCGCACATACTAATTGAATGGCGATTCGAGTTGGTGCTGGGGCATTTTGGGAAGTAATTGACACACTCTCGTCCCAAGGGCGGCCAGTTTGTCAGCGTGGCTTGTCTCCAGATGTGCTCAACGATTATTCCATATATGTAATAGGCAACCCCTTCTCTCCTGCACACAGCCGTAGTCTGCTCCGTCGCATAATCATGATGAGTGGTCGACTTGTGCGCTTTGGTATGTTTCCTTGGGAAACATTGGAGCACGGCCACCTGTTTCCTGAGCATGAGGCCTTGAAAACTTAGGTACGTACTACCAATGCCACAGCCATCCTGGTCCCATTGCGTGCGAAAATCGCAGGAAGCGAATGCAAAAGTTGGGATCAAATACATATCATAGGTACGTCCGACCGACCTCTACCCTTCCCTGAAAATTCAGGCCTGACCACCTTTCCTCTATCGCTGCACAGGCGTCAAGTTGACGTTCAACGGCGGCTTGATCCACAAGAAAAACGCCTTTTGATCCATCCAATTGTCCTCCGGGTCCACCAACTCCATATCAAAATTCCACACCAATCGCGCCATAATGGTGCGCATCTCAGCGTTGGCCAGGTTCTTCCCAACACAGTTCCTAGGTCCCGTGCTGAACGGTTGAAGCACGTCAAAGTTGTCCCCGGGATAGGACTTCTTCTTCTCCGCCAGCGCCGGCGTGTTGCTCACCTGCAGGAAGCGCTCGGGTTTGAAGGCGAACGAGTCGGTGAAGTTGCGGGATGTGTGGTTCATGGCGTACTGGGCGGTTGCGACGGTGGTGCCCTCGGGCACGAATTGGCCTGCGACGGTGGCACCGCCTTTGGGGACGATGCGAGGCATTTCGCCGGTGACTGGAGGGTAGAAGCGTAGGGCTTCTTTGAAAACCGCGAGCACTGAACAGAGATCAGTATTGGTCCGGGCAGTGATATTTTCTAGGTTCCCTTTGTTTCGACGGTTAAGCCAGCGGGAAAGAAGGCACACTGGTCACGTACTGTACGGGAGGTTCTCCACCGAGGAAAAGGTGATCTGATCCTCGGACTTGAAGGCGCCTCGGATCTCGTCTTGCAGCTTCTGGAGGGTTTCAGGGTTCTTGAGGAGCAAGAAGGTGGCGCCAGTAAGAAGTGTGGCAGTGGTCTCGGATCCCGCAATAATGCTACCAGTATAGGTAAGTCTTTGTCCAAACATACAAACTCATCCAGGCAAATCAACTTACAGAAGGCTGGAGTTGGTCCTCAGTCGTTCAAAAGAGATATTCTAAAGCCAGTCAATACTCGTGCCTAGTCGTTTGTCTGGGCGTGATGCAAAAGCTTGGGCAGGTCAGCTTACCCAGTCGTCCTTTTTCTTGAGTAGTCCCTCAATCAAATCCGGCCTCTCAGCCGTCAAAGACATGCGCCTTTGCAAAATCTGCGCCATGGAATCCACGAGAGCTTGACGGAATTTGGCGGATCTCATCGCGACCAACTTCAGGAACCGCTCGAGGCCCAACTCCTTGACAAAGTACGTCTTCGAAGCCGTAGCAAGCCCCTGCTCCATGAAGGCAACTCGGGGGTCCAATTCACCCTTCTCGAGACATCCAAAGGGCTCACCGAAGGCCAGATCGCCGATGATGTCGAATGTCGCGTAGTTGAACCAGTGGCGCATGTCAAATGCTGTTGTGGTCGTGGTCGTAGTCGAGCCGTCGTCGTCCTCCCCCGCATCCCGTGGAACGCAACGCTCCTTGATGCGCTGGATGAAGAGGTCAACATAGCCTTTAATGATGGATTCCTGTGCGCGCAGACTCTTGTCGCTGAAGCCGTGGCTGAGCTGACGACGTATCAAGCTATGATTCTCGCGCGATTCCGATAAAATGTTTGGTGGGACGTTCCGTGCGCGATAAAAGTAGGCGTCCTTTTCGAACTCCTCACCCTTGACGACAGCGCCGTTTTGGTGCCCGAAAATGTCCTTCCATGCCTCGGCATTGGTGTAGACCAGCATGCCAGGGGCGACTCGGACCACGGGACCATACTTCTCACTAAGATCCACAAGCTCTCGTGGCCACTTGCCATTCAGGATCCTCAAAGCACGAGGGAATCTAGAGGCGCGGTACAAGAGTGGTCCGGGGTAATGGCGGAGTGGGTGAAAGTATAGATTGTAGATAATGATGGAGATGGCATACAAAGCCAGCTAACGAGTCAGTCAGTATGACGCCGGCCCAGGTTCGCCCTCAATGAGCGTTGAGAAGACGGCTTACCGCTGCGAGAGACCAGACAACGGGCCCAGGCACCTGCGCGATGAAAGACTCCATCTTGATGGGAAGAAATCGAATGCAGGACAAAGGTCAATACGTGTGGAATATTGACTGGAGAAAGGTCAGCGTGAGGTATTGCCCACAACCTGAAAAGCAATACTGGGGCCCCGAGAGATAGTATATGTACTCCAAATGCGTAGAGCAGTGACACTTGCTGGGATGAGCGCGTCCGGGGTGACAGAATCATGGACAAATTGCACGTCCGGCTTTGGGGATCAGAATTGTAGGTTGCCCCGTCTGTGGATTAAGCCGACATGTGCAAAGGTACTGTACAGTGCCCTGTAATCTTTCGAAGACCTTGCGTGGTTCCAGGATATCGGCACCGCGGATATGCGCAACCATGGCTCCAATCCATCCCCGACTACACCGCTTGCGCATGAGAGTAGTGCGATATGCTTGCCGGCGTCGCCACCGAAAGCCCAACATACGATCACATCCGGCACCGTGATCGGCTCCGAGGAAAGAAAAGCTCACATGCTAATGAGGGCATGTCTCACGTGGTTCAGCAAGTAAACGAACATTTCCCAGCGGTGATGTATGTACTGTACATCGTCGCTGAGAGCGGGCATGCCGGTATCCCCCGGGCTACGGGGGTAGATTGCTCCGGGCCCATTGGAATTCGGCTGGATCTTGATTCCGACAACATGTCGCATTTACAAAGACTTTTATGCATGTTTGTGCTGTACAGCCCTAGCCACGGCCCGTGGTGGTGAAGCCATCATCAAATTTCGTTCTGTATTCCTGATATTAGTCCCGATGTAGCGCTATAGCAGCTGGGGAAATCCTCTCCCTCTTCGATTAGCCTCCGCAATTTTTCCAGGGGGCACAATTACGCTTCGCATCCATTATCAACCACCGACACAAACCATCAAAACCGTTCACGCCGCCATCCATTCTGTGCATATCTCTCAGCGCCCAGTGTTCCACGACACGCAGCCACAATCGCTGATGCGCAGACGAATCTCGGCACTTGCTTGCTGACCACCCAAACTCAACGGCGGAGGGTTGTATTGTTCCATGCTGACAGCTCGGATTTAATGCGCGTAGCCAGCGCGGGAATGCACTTTCGAGAAAGTACGTACCTGAGGCTTGAGATTAGCCATGCTGACATGCCTCGCTTAGCACCCACCTCACCAACCGTGACTCACCAGGGATTCGGACCCACGCCTAGGTGAGACAGCTTGTCTAACAGATCGCCTACACCATACACTTATATGCGCGAAGGCCGAGTCCAAATGCGCGTCCGTAAGCTGTGTAACCTTTTGAGATCGGTGTAGACCTTCACGCCATCTTTCCCCGGAATGCTGCGCCCGCTACGCTCACGCGTATTGCCACCATCTGCTTCACTGTTTCTTGTCTTTGTCGTCTTTGGGCAGGAACGTTAGGGTTGCTGCGTCGGCGACGCGAGTAAACTCCTTCGCGGGGTGGTGCGTCACTGTTCCATCAGCCTCCACCGTGGTCTTGGCGTTGGTGAAGACAGTCATGCGAGGATTCTTCCTCGGCCGTGGGACTCCGCGCTTCTTGTTGTAGTTGGCTCTCGAGGCGTCGCTAGTGTTCGGGCGATCAAGCTTCCACATTGGCTCATCATCCTGCTGCGGGGTTCCAGAGACTTGAAGCACAGGCGAGCTCTCCTCGGATGACACTATGATTTGCTCCACGCGCGAGACCTCTCCAGGTGGCGAGGAGCTACTCTTCCACAGGCCGACGAAAGCGAGGAAGGTGTTGACGGCAATACACACTGGAGCGAAGATCAAGAGCGGTACGATGGTATAGACGAAGAAGACTACAGCACGAGATTAGCATCCAATCACTAGACGAAAAGCTTGTCAAGTGCGAAAACTCACAGACTCCACCGCCGGTCTTGCGCACCACCTTTCCCAACTCGCCGTCCTTCCGCATCAAGCTCGCCGCCTCGTATGCAGAGACACCGTCCGACCAGGGCCCGATGAGCCGAAACTTGGGCGTGAAGTTCGGTCCCATGGCCCAAGTGAAGAGGACCTCGGTGCCAAACTCGCGCCAGACGTGCTGCCAGGTAGGTGCCGCGCCCATGTCCAACGCCAGCTGGTAGGCGTACGACTCCATGTCGACGGCTCGCTTGGTCTTGGCAAAGTCGTGATCAGGGTCGCGGCAGTGCATCTCGTAGTCGAGCTCGTAAGGGTCGAGAGCGGCGGGGGAGCGTCTGGGAGGGGTGAAGCTCTTGTCAAAGAAGGCTTGGTACTTGGGGCAGCAGATGAGGCCGTGAATCCAGTGCTGTGCTTGCAGCTCGGCCAGAGGTGGGATGGCTCCTGTGCGCGGGATAATTAGCGGTCAAATTGTTCCATGAATTTGTTGACGCGGACGAGCTTACCTAGGGCGGGGCGCACGAAGCCGATGTATGCGATGCCATCCTCAATGTCGCGGTAGATGCCACGCGTGGTCGCCTCGTCAACAGTCGGGTAATGCTGGTTTCCAAACCTGTTCAAGAAGGGGAAAGTGCGCTTGTAACCCGTAGCGAAGATGACGAGATCCGGCTTGATGGCCTTCATCGTCTCCATCCTCTTTGACTCAGGGCGATCGTTCTTCCGAAAGTGGACGATGTCGTTCTCGTC